AACATTCTGCTATAAACAAAACTGACCACTGTTTATTCAAAAGACACCAAAATGTCAACAGCAAAATACAGGCACTTGTAATAGACTTTGAAATACACCTCCTTGTTTCTACACTCATTGTCCATTTTATCAGCTCCACTTACTATATAGGTGCACTTTGTAGTTCTACAGTTACAGACTGTAGTCCATCTGTTTCTCTGATACTTTGTTAGCCCCCTTTTACCCTGTTCTTCAGTGGTCAGGACCCCCATGGACCCTCACAGAGCAGGTACTATTTGGGTGGTGGTTCGTTTTTAAACATCTCAGTGGGGATTGTAGTGCAGCACATTGCAGAACAGGCTAATATTATTAGAAAATTCAAATAATTTTGTGGGCTGGACAGGATTGATGCGGGGCCTGATTTGGCCCGTAGGCCTTGTGTTTGACACATGGGATTTATGGGGTGCTTTCTATTGGGAGGGGTCTGTCCCAAACCCTAACCCCTAAACAGGACAATTTCACTTGCCAAGATGACATTTTTGCAATGTAAAGAAATTCACTGATGTATTGGCTAAAAACAGATCAAAATTTCCTTTCACCTTCATGCTGCATCATCAGAAGGATGTCTTTCTAAACTTTAAAACAGAAAATCCCACCGCAGAGCCTCCTGCGGCACCACTGGAGGATGAGGATAGGCATGTAAACAACAGATGCAGCGATGGTTATATTTTTTGGTTTGGCCTGAGTGCACCTTTAATAGAATTATATTTTCATGTTATTCTAACTTCTCAAAAAGAACTAAAATAGAAGATACATGTCTAAATGTATGTATGGGCCGTTTACTTCTGAGACTAAGACTAAACATTCCCTCCAAAGTTTCAAATGAATCTAAGATTCTCGAGACGTCCAAACACTACAGCACAAACAGCCTCCGTTACCCACCCAGCTCAAAAACCTACCGATTTCCCTCGGCTATGTTTGAATAATAAAACATGTTTTTAGACTTTTTCCTCTGCAAGCTGCACATTTTTTTCTATTTTGGATTATTTTAGCCTCCAAACACTAACAGCTAAAACTGAAAGCCCAAATTCAGCCTGAACAGTCAGAATACACCTCACTATAAACTATACAGTATAACAATTTTGCACATGGATACTCATAGAAGGATTTCTCTTTATAATTATGTTTTCCACATTTTAGAATTATAGTTGACATCAAATCTTTGAAATAGCATAGAAATATACAGGAAAAAGTGATAAAATCATATTTATGCAAATTCCTTTCTTTAACAGAATTATATTTTCATGTTATTTAACTTCTAACAAACAACTAAAATAAAAGATACATGTCTAAATGTATGTATGGGCCGTTTACTTCTGAGACTAAGACTAAACGTTCCCTCAAAAGTTTCAAATGAATCTGAGATTCTCGAGACGTCCAAACACTACAGCACAAACTGCTGTTCTGTTAAATGCCAGGAGTGAGAATGAAGCCGTGATCAACATTAAGACTAATGCTGTATTAAGACTAAACAATCTGTTTGGCCTCTGTGGACACAGAAAAGCGTCTCTGATTGAGCGGAGGGCATCTGTTCTCTCATTAGCAGCCGTTTTCAGAGTGAGGCGCATGAGCCGCAGCGCTGACAGAGCCATATTGACTTTAATTAATATTGAACACGCAGCAGGAGAGACTGGGCTCCACTGGCCTGATAGGAACATCAGCTCTGGGGTTTGGCACATAGTTTCTAACCCTGTTTATCAAACACAAATAAAGCAGCCACAATTAACACAAACTTTAGGAAGCACTACTTACACAGCGTTAGGAGTGTGTATTGGTACTCAAGTACTTATTTGGGTACTCACTGCACTTCATTACAGGGCGACAGAGAAGATAAACAGGCTAACATTTTAGTGAAACGCCAAATTTAGGTTTAAGCAGTAAAATGTGTCAGTTTTGTATGTATTTGTGAGTAAGCATGTACTGTATTACACTTTGCAAGTATGAGTGCCTTAACATGAGCGCTTTGCTGAGGACTAAGCTCCAGAGCCGGCCGCGCTAACAAGGCTAACAACACTCTTAAAAAGATGGTTCTTCAAGGGTTCTTTAGCAGAGGTCTTTAATTAAAATGCAGTAAGGTCCAGTCAAAGAAAATTTCCTCCAGTAAAGGTGCGGAACATCATAATGTCTAACTTGCATCATGATTCAGTGCCATATACTGTTTACTGAAGTAGCCTAGTAGGTATATCAGCATCTTATACAGTCAATAACTGAATATCAAATCAATTAAAGTACAGTTCAGTAACATTTCAACAATATTTACTGTCAGTTTTCTCTTTTTAGAGCACAGCATTGTAAAATACTCTGGATCACTTTCTTCTCTGACTGCTGTTTCCTGCCTCGTCCCTCCCCTGTGTGTGCGTCACTCACTCGAGTCTCAGTGCTCATCGTAATGCACAGATCTGATTGGCTGAGTAGCGTCACATGTGATATTCACAACGCATGCGATTGGTCTGTGAGTCTCTGGCCGCTAAAGCTACCGTAAAGGCTAGAAAAGCTACGCTGATTAAAATAGGACCACCCGTCCAAATTAAATAATTCTCCATAGTTTATCGGTTATGAGTCCAGGTCCGCATAGGACAGCGTCTGGGTCCGGACTCGGACTGCAGTCCACCTATTAGTGACCTCTGGTTCTTTAGTAAAGAAAACAGTTCTCAATAGAACCATGAACACTCAAAGAACCATTTGCATGTTTAAATGGTTCTTTGCATGGTGAAATGTTCCAAGGGTTTGATGGAGAATGTGTTGTATAGGGTTCTATATGGCACCAAAAAGGGTCCTGTTATTGTTATGAAGTTAAGCTTGTAACAGTAGAAGAACCCTTTCTGGTGCCAAATAGAACTTTAAAAAAGCTTTTATATAGAACACGTTCTCAATCAATCTACAGAACCTTTTCACCATACAAAGAAGAGCAATGTTCATAGTTCGATATAGAACCATTTTCATTATTAAAGAACCATTTTTTAACAGTGTAGCTGATGTTAGCCAGGTTCATAAACAGTGATATTGCTCTGATAAACTAACATGTTGGCACATCGTCCACTGAGGAGAAAAGAAGTCATATAGAAGACGACGAGTCCTCATTTGCATCTGACACAAGCTGAGTTACGTCTACTGTTAGCATTAGCATTGAGGCAGCCTCCGTTACCAACCCAGCTCAAAAACCTACCTTGGCTATTTTTTGAATAATAAAACATGTTTTTAGACTTTTTGTCTACTTTGGATTATTTTGTCCTCCAAACACTAACAGCTAAAACTGAAAGTCCAAATTCAGCCTAAACAGTCAGAATACACCTCACTACAAACTATACAGTATAAAAAGTTTGCACATGGCTTCTCATTGAAGGATTTCTCTTTATAATGATGTTTTCCACATTTTAGAATTATAGTAGACATCAAATCTTTGAAATAGCACAGAAATACACAGGAAAAAAGTGATAAAATCATATTTTTTAGACGTGTTTGGTGTCTGAACTTTCTACTTTAGTTTTAGCACTGTAGTTATGAGGCTAATGTAGCTAAGTAACGGAGGCTTACATTAGCATGGTGCTAACTGCATGCCTAAAACATTACACGCTTGTCTTAAAGCATGTGGAGCTGTTCAGAGTCTCTAATAGTCTTGATTATGTGGTTTCTGATTCTGTATGACTCACTGTTATCTATAAACATGGACTAAAGCGCGCCCCTGGTCAACTTCCATGCGCTGCTAGAAATAAAGGTTCTGTTCAGGTACATTTTTCGTCCATCAAGGTACAAACAGTGTAAATGTTCCCTCAAAGCTCCAACAGTGGTTTTAAGGTCTGATTGTGAACCTTAAATAAGTTTTTCCAGGTGAAAAGTTCGTATTTGTACCTTTTCATAACCGAATGTTTTAAACAGAACAGTAAAATAAAAGCCTGGAGACGAGACGGGGTGTGTGGAGTCAGTACAGCTTAGAACATATCATTTCAGTGGATTATGGTTCAGTTATGTTCCCTGACTAAAGGTACTGAGATGGACCCTTGAGGGTCCCACCCCAGTGACAAGAGAGGAACTGACCAAGTGACAGTTTAGTACCTTTATTTCTGAGAGTGTGTTTCGTTGATTATCTAATTGTAAGTAAGTTAACACATCCTCTACACACTTGTGCATATTTTAATGCACAATTACTGTTTATTTGCTGAATTTAAATACAAAATAAAGCATAAAATGTGTGCAAAACTCTAAAACCCAGAAAGTGTGTACAAAAATTTGCAAAAAACGCTGTATTTGAGTTTGTTCCCTGCAGAGGATGTGTTAACTTTACATTTAGAAAACCAACAAAACATGTCATTTGACTAGGGATGTTCAAACATTTCCATACGACTGTGAATACACACAAACAGCACGCGTAAAACCAAGTTTTTGGAGACGGTGGACTCATTTGTTGAGAACACAATAGGCTTAATGAATCACTATATCATATCTTTATTAATCAGCCTCCTTTGTTGACAGGCTCATAATGATGCATCAAACATAGGTGCACCTCTCCTCTGAAAGTAAATACACATTGTGCTGTATCAATCAGGCTATATTTGGATGAAGCTTTGTCTGAGGTGATGATTAGCAGATCACTGTGAGCGCTAGCAGGACTGTGCTCGGAAGCAGCGGTTGCATCACTGAATCCAGACAGGTCTATTTGGTATGCTGTAAGTGCCCTCCGTCTGCCTGATCAGACAGAGCGAGAGAAAGAGCGCCGTGTCTGAGAGACGCTGCGTCCATGACAGGCTTTCTAAGAGAGCAAATGAAGTTGTGACACGGGTGGGAGGGAGCTCTTCACAATAGGGGAAAGTAATCAACCTTGGCAGCGGGACTACATTAGCATTGAGATGAAGGAGTTTTTATCCACGCCTAAAACGATCAGCTGCTTTGGTCTGGACTTGCAATGCAACCGAAATCTCTCGCCGTCGGACAGGGTGTGTATACGTTTGCGGAAAAAGCCTTACTGTGTGCTCCGTGACGGGCAGTGGCTTCAGGTTAACTCGTCCACCTTCTCCCTCCATGCATCATGAAGCAGCAGCAGCCAACTAGAGGAACAGGGAAGAAGACTATGTATGAATACACAGCATTCAAATACATAAGGCATTATTTTCTTGCCACACCCCACATATTTGCTCATAATAAATTAAATACATGCACATTTCATGTAGTGTTTAAAAATATTTGTGCTAAATATATTCAAAATGGCCATTTGTAAACATACAGCAAGCACATATATGTAAATATATTGAAATATATGCACATATGTGGTTTAAATGCATGTTTAATGCCAACTGTTACATTTATATTTGCATATATGCAAAAAATACATCAATATATTGCAATATTGATGCATATTTTGAAAAATATTTGTAAATATATTTTCTTTGCATATGGAACAATAACATTAGTGCTCTTTAGATTTGGTATAGCTCACTAATAAACAATAAGATAACCAAATAAAGCTGCAACCATTTGTTTCTACATACATAAATAGAATATTATTACATAATACTATATTACCATTACATTTCTGATAATAATTATAATAAGTAACAATAACAGCACAAGGAATGTGAATCTGAAGCATCAACATTTGCACATTTGTTTCATCTTGGAAAGCAATAGTAATGACTGAGTAGCATAGACAGTACATAAGAAACAAATAGACTTAAAAAACCTAATAAATGCGTAAATATGTCTCCAAATTTACAAACACCAAGATATTCAAACTGAAAAACATTAACATGAGAGAAATAACAGAAGCCATATCGCCCCCTATACTTCCTGTAGTGTATTACAGTCTGTCAGAGTGACTGTGTGGATCATATGAACATTATAGAGGCTTTTTAAATGAAACAGTAGAAGCCATATCGCCCCCTACACTTCCTGTAGTGTATTACAGTCTGTCAGAATGACTGTGTGGATCATATGAACATTATAGAGCTTTTTAAGTGAAACAGTAGAAGTCATATCGCCCCCTACACTTCCTGTAGTGTATTACAGTCTGTCAGAGTGACTGTGTGGATCATATGAACATTATAGAGGCTTTTTAAATGAAACAGTAGAAGCCATATCGCCCCCTACACTTCCTGTAGTGTATTACAGTCTGTCAGAGTGACTGTGTGGATCATATGAACATTATAGAGGCTTTTTAAATGAAACAGTAGAAGCCATATCGCCCCCTACGCTTCCTGTAGTGTATTACAGTCTGTCAGAGTGACTGTGTGGTTCATATGAACATTATAGAGCCTTAGAAAACAAACTGTAGATGAATAAAGGCAGATTCAGCAGAAAACTTCTAACTACCTGCTAAGCACTACCTGCTTAGGCCTGACAACGAGATGGGTGGGTTAAGGAGGGGTTGATATACCAGTGTAGAAGATTTGAGGAGTAAAAATCCATTTAGCTCAGGAAGTGGAGTCTGACAAAACAAACTCTCACTCCAATGATGGATTCAAACAAGATGGTTCTGCAAAGTACATCAAAATATTATCTTTAAAATCGGTATTCTGTTATATGGGCCCATTAAAGAGGTGCCATCAGGCCTACCATCAACAGAACCAACCCATTTTGAAAGAGAAGCATGCGGAGCAGCACATTAAACCTTAGATGTGATTTAATCTTGAGATTAAAGATAAGAGTCACCTAGCATTAAGACGTATCAGTAATGGTAGTCATTTTGGAGGATGAATGGTGCAGCTTTGATGACATATCCCGAGGGTTATGACATGCATATTCCACTAATTCATATAATTTAGCACTGATTAGCTTTCAACGCTCAACTGTAATTTTCTTCTCCTCAAGTATATCTTCTCAAGTATATCCCAAACGCTCCGGGTGGAATGAGCGTCCCACCAGGCTGACGGAGCATTAACCGGCCTGTCTGGTTAACCACTGAATGTATAAGCCTTTATAGTACATTATATGTCCAAAAGAATCCAGACACATCTTCTAATGGGTGAATTCAGGTAGTAATCTCTATAAAAAAGTACTGACCAATAGAATGGGACACTCTGGAGCAGCCTGAACTCACATGAGCCTAAGGTCACCACGCCCAAAGCCAAGCATGGGCTAGAGGGGTATAAAGCCCCCCAGCATTGGGCTGTGGAGCAGTGGAACTGTGTTCTCTGGAGTGATGGAGCTCCATCCAATACCTTTGGGATGAGTTGGAGTGATCCAGAACTGACCATCCAACATCAGTAAACTCCAGTAAAAGCAGAAGTTCCTCCCTTTAGACCTCCACTTGAGTAAAAGTACAAAAGTATTCATCTTCAAATGTACTTAAGTATCAAAAGTAAAAGTACTAAAAGATTAATTATGACTCTGATGTCCTGTTATCATTACTGTAACAAGACTCTGCTTCATTAACTCATTTTAGGTGAAAATACTCCAGTGTCACTCTTGGTAAACCAGTCTTTAATAGAAGGTCATTAATTAGTGACGCTCATGTCTATTAAAATTATCATAATCACAAAACACTGAAGGCAAACAGTTTCCATCAGGTAGAACTGAGTGGCTCTGAAATCACTTTTTACAAACCAGCAAAGTTCCAGTTTAAGATTTATTTAACTTAGTTACAAGTTTAAGTTTAATAAAAACTTTAAACTCAGATTCACAAATGAGTTTCCTTTACTAAACTGCATCTGTAGGTCTCTGTTCATAAACATAAACTAGCCAAAACTAATTTACTATAAAATGAAATGTGTTTGTATAAATTCAGAATAAAGACACGTCAGTCTCAACTGCATATGTGTACATATTTCTATATTGTGGTCTGTTTACACAAAGTTAGGTTAGTTCATCATTTATGTTGAATAGACTCTCCCAAAATTTTACGCTGCTGCACTGATGTTGAACCGTGTGCTGCACTGGGTCGGTATGACCAACAGGTCAAAACAAGCTCAAAACAAAGTGGCCGCTGTGCCCTGATTGGTGTTCTTACTTCGTGCTTCTTTCGTTTTGACATGTTATGTTTTTGTACACACATAAACCAAAAGGAACGACAGATTTCTCATAATGTAGTGGAGTAAAAAGTGAGATATCTGACTTTGAAATGTGGAGTGAAAGTAAAAAGTCACCCAAAATGGAAAAACTTCAGTAAAGTACAGATACACGAAAAACTACTTAAGTACAGAAACTAATTACATTTACTTAGTTACTGTCCACCACTGCTAGAATCCAGCTACTCAGGAACTGTAGCAGCTAAAAAGCCTTTATATTTGGTGTTCTAGCCCAAAACAGGTATCAGATTTATCTAGTAGAGCTAAATCATGGTTAAAACTGCCAAAGCAAAAACTATTAGAGGCTATTAAATTACAAATGATTCATATTTGACTGGATTATTACAGTAACATACTGTGGTGAGTCACAGCCAAAGAGACAAAGAAACACATGATCACTGATGACCTACTTCCAGACTAAAACACAGGCCTGTTTTCAAAGCAGAATCATCAGGGAAACTGTAACTCAGGTGAAGCTGAGGCTTAATAAGCTTGAACACAGGTTGTCTATGTTTCTACACGTCTAGAACGAATAGTGAGCATTCATATGTTGCCGCTCGTCATCCGGAAGCCCAGAGCATCTCCTTTTATCTGCCTCTGTCTGAGTTCACACTGGAGGCTCTTATGTAATATGGAGATCGCAGGAAGCATCTGTACAATGCAGAGCGTTAGGAACGGCGGTTGTGACTTGATAAGGCAGATTAATGGATAAATATCACAGACCAAGTTCTTCTTAATGCAGGTGTGAGAGATAAAGCTTAACTGCATCGCTTACTGCAGATTAAACTCCCACTGTATCTCACTTTCCCCACACTACTCCCCTGCAACACCACTGTCTATTATGTATGATAAGAATAAGGCAGTTTAATACAGTACATATTCTTATAAAGCACTTGCTGGAGAAATTGGAACTGCTAATATATCTGTAGATGTTGGATAATGTTGGATAAAATGCAAAATGTACCATAGCATCTCAGAGACTTATAGAAATAACAAATATTCAGTTACTGTAACCACCAAATGTGGTTACGTTGCACCGGTCATACACCGGTCAGGCATAACATTCTGACCACCTCCTTGTTTCTACGCTCATTGTCCATTTTATCAGCTCCACTTACTATATAGGTGCACTTTGTAGTTCTACAGTTACAGACTGTGGTCCATCTGTTTCTCTGATACTTTGTTAGCCCCCTTTTACCCTGTTCTTCAGTGGTCAGGACCCCCATGGACCCTCACAGAGCAGGTACTATTTGGGTGGTGGGTCATTCTCAGCACTGCAGTAACACTGACGTGGCGGTGGTGTGTTAGTGTGTGTTGTGCTGGTACGAGTGGATCAAGGAGGTGGTCATAATGTTATGCCTGATGGGGGTATATCAGTTATGAAACTGTGCTTGTGTTCATTTGCATGGAAGTTCTCAGAAGATAAGCCGCTAAGTCTGCCATCCTCACTGGCGCAAACTGTTGAAGGACTGTCAGCAAATGAAGACTCTCTCAGTAAATCTGGTCCTAATAGTGCCATATTATTCTACTGTTAAATGTAAGTATACTTGATTTAACTGAACCCCAAAATATGTATTAAACACTATGTATTTATACTATGTCTAATATTAATAATGAAGCAAAGCAATGTGCACAATTGTTTTCCGATTTCTTCTTTTTCTTATTTTTCCGCTAATTCATCCAGGAGTTTTCGAGATACTGGCACAGTTCCAGCTCCAGAACGTTCAATCTATTGGGAACGATATGCTTGTATAAAGCTTTTTGATTGGACGTTTTGGAAAAATATCTAATTGAGATTTTTCTAACCGATATTGTGATTATGATTTTCATTTTGATTGTTTTCTATATATTGAGGTTTGGGTCTTTATCAGCTAAAAAGAGTGGCGTGTACTTCTTCTGGCTTGTTATTCTAAAAGCAGATCAACAGCTCCACGTTATTAGGTTAAATCCACTTGCAACATATGAACATTACTGATAACAGTAGAAAAAGATAAAATATAATGAAAATTGCAGCTCTTGCGATTTGAAAATTGGACTCTTTTAAAT